TACTTATTATTAAAAAAAACTCCAAGAAGACTTTTATAGTCTTTTTCGACTATAAGTTTTTTTCAATTAGTTATTTAAGCCTGTTAGAGGAACTAACTGGAGCTAACGCCTCCTTATCATTACGCTAACTTTCTTTGAGCTCATATAATTTAGTACTCAAAGACGCCTGTATATTGCAAGCATTCATTATACCTTTAAAATAGGACACCTCCCATTCCTATGGCATTTGTCTAAAAAATTAACTTTTGCTCAATATTATATATTCAACACATATTTACTGATGTGATAACAATCTGACTTTGTTCCATGAATCTTCTTGCTCATTACCACCTACAAATTTTACTTTTATTTAGCAACCTACTTAGCGGCTCGGCGATTACAGCACAATGAAGGGTGTGGTTACTCTAATAGTCTAAAAACTGTAAAAAAAATAGTTAATCCATCTTTAAATTTTTGGTTTTAGCATGTTTTTGAGTGCTTGAATGCGATCTACCCCCATTTGGAATCCAGAGTTAGTAAGTTCTCTCTCCAGCCATCGTATTCCACATTACACGAGCGTGTAGTTCTCTAAACTTATCTTTAATTAAATTTTTCATTTCTGTTCACGAGTTTACAGGGTTCTTGATAGTGATACCTTCAAATTCTGTGTCTACTAAGCAATCATAAACTTGAACGTAGGTATTCTGCAAGCCAGCCGTTATGACATCCGAGCTTTTAGATATTCGGAGGTACATTCACATAACCTAGAGGCAACAGTGTGCAATGCACTCTCCTGCGATTAGGCATGGTAACGCAAAACACTTTTTTAGTGTACATTAATTTCTTTCAAGTAAAAGCCCTTTCCTGTATTAAAAGTGCTAAACAGTTTTTTTATTCCTAACTGTCATATTAATAAATCGCTCACTCGGTGCGCTGTATCTCTCTTTGCGCATCTCTCAGTATGACCCTGAAGAGCACCTCACATACGCCTATACTATTACGGCTCTATTTTCACCTCTTCACTGCTCGTGCTTATTATACTAGGTTTCTCAACGACTACCTGCATATGATTCCACTTTCGGACAGTAGTATCTTCCAGAAAACCTGCTTTAAGTAGCTTTACACACTCTCATAATAACCAATACCTTTGTCTTATCTTTTATTTCGTATTTAGTTCAAGCATTCGGCACATCATTCTTTAGTTAAAAGTTGAGTGATTCCAATTTCATTACGCTTTTTACACCGAAATCCCATATTAAATTATATACTTTCTCGCTAGACTTTCGATTTTCTTGGCATTCACAGTTTTGCAATTTATGGAAGTTAAAATTCTTTTTACGTCTATAACAGAGGCTGACCATTTTTCTCTCTCTACTTCATTGAAAGCCGGTAAACTCAAGTCCTAAGGGACTTTATCGTAATTTTCTCTACTACTTTATCATTCCCTCCTGACTTTAGCAGGTGGTCATCATCTTTACTAGGCAACTTAACGAGCTGAAACGAATATTTTCAAAATACTCTTCTAAAAACAAGAGATCCACACCCATAACAAGGTTATCAGGTACATTTCATACGAACTCATTTATTTTTCCATTCATGAGGAAAAAGCCGAAAACCAAGGTCCACTACTTACTCCTCTCAAAAACTTGAAAACTTCTTCGACTTTAATAACGCGCTGACGCTAATAAAGCTACCTTCTGCTTGAGAATCCGACTATATTACAAAATTTCTGTCCTTTACCTTTCAACTAAGTTATTTTCTTTTTTCCTTTAACTAACAAGACACACAACCTGTCATTAAAATTACAGGCGCCTGCTTTAATGTCAGTAACTAAATAAGGATACTTATTAGAATATTTATTATTTCTCTTTGCATTTTTACACAAGTGAGCATAATGGTTGCCTCCGTAGAAACCCGTCATTAACTTCACCACTTTCACCTAGCCCATCAGTGGGAGGGCTTTTTATTAAGTTTCGCCAAGATAATTCCTGGTAATGTTTGTGTCAACTAACTCACTGGGATTTAGAAACCAATCTAATTCTCTATCAGCAATCATCAGTTTAATATATCTCGTCGTGCCCTGAAAGGTATCAATATCTTCCTGCTTAACACTTATCTCGTATCTTAAGATACTCAGCTCTCTAATAAAACTCCATGTTAATTTTTTTCTACCCTTGCCCATCACCCTTTGCAGGTTGCGCAATGATTCCTAAGAGGTAGTACAGGGACCTGGTGTACTTCTTTCTTTGCTTGAGTGATTTATATTGCTCTTTATATATATATATAAAGTTACTATAACTTAAAAACGCAGTAGTTTTTTTACTAGAAAAGAACTTGTGAAGGCGACAGAACAGTAAACTTATCAATATACATTGAGTATACGAGAAAAAAAAAAGGGTGAAAGTTGTGAAAGGATAAGAAAGGGTAGTAGAAGTGTATAAAAAAGTCTTCTATCTTCAAGTATAATGTTCAGGAATATATCTGGGACATAAAAATTAACTGAGTAATACAAAGGGATTATTGTCAATTTTAGACAAAATCAAGGGCGTTTAGGGAATAAAATATTTTTGAGTTAATTACTGAATAGAGAAAGCCTAAGTGATCACGAAGAGAGTAATGGAGAAAGTATTTACTGAAACAGAGGGTAGGAACTAGCTGGACAGAATATCAGCGGCGGAGGATAGATGTATTTACTTTAGAAGTTTAGGCTAGACCCGTTCGTAATACCCAAGGAAGTAAAGTAACCGCATATAAAGAGTATCTTGGGGTCAATAAGAACACTTGTCGTCCTAAAAAGTCGCATGTATTACCAGTAAGTAGGCTACTAATTAGTGAAGAAGACAGGCTTCGAATAAGGCAAAAAGTTATCTTAACTTAATTTCTTGTAAGGAGAAAAAATAGTGGGAAGCTATTGGAGGTGTGCGCACTATTATTATCGTTAAAGATTTTTATATCTTACAACCTACCATGCATACTTCTGAGATTCACTTCCTTCAATTTAGGAAATTATTTTATTTGAGTGTATACTTAAATCTTAGATCCCACCGGGTTATGTTTATGTTAAGTGAAAGGACAGCCCATCTTAAAGCATTTAACCTTAGGTGTTAGCGCATGCTAATTTGGTAAATCTCTGGTCTTTTTTTCCCACCAATTTACATCAGGTACTATAGTTAAATCTTAATGAACTACGCAAGGGAGGAATAACACATATTGCTGCTGCATCATAACAATGGAAGGTAAAAATTACATCAGCAGGTATGGGAATAAAACGTTTACGAGAGCTTAACAGCGAGCTTAATAAAACTTGAGAGCTGCTATGAGCGCCAAGCTGAGATGAGGGTGAGAGACATGATAAAATGATAGAAAGGTTGTATCAAGAAATATAATTAGTATAAAACCAAGTTTTTTCTTTTAAGAGAGAAGAATTTCTACGCTGAGTGTCTTAAACCATAATAACACTTAGTCATGATATTTGAAGAGGAATAAACGTAATTTGAGAAGTGTAAGGCGGTAGAGGGGTACAATAAAAATTTGATCGTCTCTAAACTCATAAGAAAAATCTCGCGTTATGGCAGAAGATGTGAAAGAAGTTGGCCTGCATAAAAACCAGTGTCACTGGCTTCTATTTATATTATAAATTCCTAGATGATTTCTACCTGCCCCAAGAACATTCCTCCTTCTAGTACAATATAATTTATTTTAAGTCATTTGATGTTTTACGTTTTACCTAAATTCTGTTATTCTTAAGTAGTCTGCCTAAGAGCTGAAAGATTAAGGGCACTAGTTTTGGAATAAGCATACTTTAGCCACTTTTTTTTTTGGTTTTTAGATTTTATTATATTTTTTATAACCTTTCTGCACTCATTCTGGACCCGTTTTTGCTAATTTCCCCTCTTAGCTATTTTACAGGCCTTACTACATAGTTTCACCCTTCTATAATTTTAACTTGATATTGCTCTTTTCAACCCACTCACCAAGTAACAAGAAAAGTAAATTTTGCAAAATCTAAGTAATCGGCGCACTAGCCTACTAGAAATAAAAAATCGTTAAATGAACCTTGCGGGTGTCGCCCTTTAGAGTGAACTAATTAGTCTTCCTAGCCTTCACGTTAATAACTATGTATGAGTCCTATAATATTTAATCATTCAATGTTCAATTAAGCCATTTAAACCATTTATCCTTATGTATGCTTTATATTCAGACTCTCACTTCTCAGACGTAATCATCATAAACCAGCCTTATTTTTTGAGCTTTTTTCACCCTTTTTAAAATTTTAGACGTTCTCATAAATTTTTTAATCTTATATGTTCGCCAAAAAGGAGTACCAATGGCCTTTAATGTTACTCTTAACGGGTTTAAACTCAGAACTCCTTTTCCTCTCTGGGAACCATTTAATGGTAATTTGTGTGTCAACAGCGAAGTCGGCATAGTTAAAAGACTGTTTACTTAGCTTAGTTTAGTAAAGATTCTCACTGCCAAAAGACCACGGGACAAAAGTATAAAGCGTTAGTTTTGTTTGATAAGATTTAAAAATTGTAATTAAATATAAGAAATAACAAGGATATAAGTACCCTACAATGATACTTATACAATTGTAAAGAAGGTGAATGTCGTGCTGCACAAGAAATAAGAAATAAAACTGCTTAAAATAGCTCAACCAGACCACATCTCAAAAAAAGAAAGTTTTTTACTATCTATATTATTTTTTTTGTAAAAGAGCCCATATAAGTTGATAGACAAGTTAACTATCAAAGGTTATCTTTACCCTCTCCTAAAGTTTACTCTGCGACCCTTTACTACAAAGGAAATATATATTAAGCAGTAAAAAAAAAAGGATGTATATCCTTGACTGTAACACGCCAACTTCATAAGTAACTAAATAAAACGGGAGCCACGCACTAATAAATGATAACGGAAATTTTTTAACCTCCACTAATAAGGCACAGCATCAATTACTGCTGTTTGACTATTGCCTCGTATAAGCTAATTCTCACTTTTAGACCTCAACTAACTTTGTTTAATAAAAAAACTCTTAAACTATATAAACAACAATGAGAACTCAAGGAATCTATAAGAGACAGTTTTACAGAATTCTAATCGGTGGTTTGGGTACTGGAATCGCAGCAGCTCTTTTTTGGGAGTATAAGTTTGGCTACTGGTATAAATAAATAAAAAAAATTATACATACTTATTCGGTTGTGTGTATACTTCTTATCTTTAAATAATTAAGTTGCTTGTATGCCTAAAGAACTAAATATCTAATCTTACTTATTTTAATGATGTTCTTTTAGATTTATATATATTTATTTAAATTTCAAGGCATCATAAGCATCAGTATGAAACATTTTACAAACAATTAAGAGAACAAGAGAGTTTGGAAAAGGGTTTTCATATTTTACTCTTATATAGAACTTTTTATTAATACTTCATTTTAGGTTCTTCTTAACTTAAAAAAGTAGGAATGACCACAGCTGAAAGATTGTTGCTAAAAAAAAAACTTCTAAAATAAATTTATTAAAATAAATAAATATAATTCTTAGTGTTTTACTGTTCCTTCGTCTAATTTTTTAAAGAAGTTTTTACTGACAGCTCTCTTTTTTGTTAATATTATTAAAAATATTACAAATATTGCTTAGTTATTGTTTTTTTAAAGTTGTCACTTTGAATTATGTAAGTAATATATTTTTTGGGGGTTCTTTAGCACAAAAAGCTGCAAAGTATACCATAAAATTTTGGAATATCTAATTCTTTGGAAATGTTAATCTTCGCTGCTAAGATTGAGCATTTTAAGTTAAGGCTCTTAATTATTAGTAAGGGGCTATCTTTTAACTATTCATTCCATTAAATTTTTTGAAGGTTATTACTTCATTCAATAAAAGCCTCCATTTGTTTACTCTAAAAAAAAATTGTTTTAGCAATTTTTCTGTTTTCACAATACAGCCTAATTTGTTGTTGTACAAAAAATTTTATAAAGATATACAGTAAAAAATTGTTCTAGTGTCTTATCTAAGGAAATCTAATAGTTCTACAAAATACGTTAATTTCTTTTTAAAAAAATTTGAAAATTTTAGGAACGACAGTTTAGCTGAAATACAATATATGTGAGTTAAGAATTGTTGTTTCCTAGCGTTGGTTTTAAGTTTTGCTTGTGCTTTTTTACTTTCTATATAAAACTGTAAAATATATTAATAGCTGTTGGCCTTATTTAGTTATGCGCCCCTTTTGTATTGTAAACCTCCGAAGTACAGAAGTGTACAAGCTGTTTCTCAATAACAGTATCGCGGCTTATAGAATAATTTTGCTTAAAAACTACAGTTGAATAAAAATTACAGTAGTGTAAATGCAGGTACTCCAGTCAACTATGGAATTTTTAAAGTAACCCTACTCTACTCTGCGTTTCTAATTTATTTTTTAAACAAAAAATTAAGTACAAGATCAACTAATTTTTTTAAACGAGTACACTTTCATTATAAAGATTTTTAAACTCTTTCCAAAGCGGTTTTTTAGTAATACATAGAGTAATGTGACAACATTTTCTCAAGAGCGCAGTAATTTTATGTATGGTTCTCGCGGTTAGTGTATATATGCGTATGAGCAACCTCACCCTACCCCCCTCAAACTGTTCTTAGGTGCGGGTTTAAAGCCCATTTTCTTCTATTATTTAACATCTAGTTATAGGGGCTACAGTTCAACTTTGACTACGCGCAGGGGGAGCTATGATTAACACTTTAATAAAATAAATATACATATATATTAAACCTTTTTGAACAAAGATTAAGCGGGTGGGCTTCTCCAATCTAGGTAAGGAGCTCATAGCCGGCGGGGACCAAGCTATAGCAGTGGTGCTGGCCGGTTCTCCAAGCGATCACGGGTCTCGTGGCTAAGGCTGCCTCTCCCGGGGATGGTTTTAGTAGTCTCCTACCACACTAGGCTAAATGGTGAGATTTCGGGCTGGAAATCTCTCTTCGGGATAGTCATTATATCTTATAAAGAGCTTACACTGGTGAACACTTGTGTCTCAACCCCTACGAAAAAGAGGAACTTAGATTAAGCGGCTTAAGGCCTTAAGAAGACCGGCAGTAGTACCAGTGCCTTAAAAAAAAAAAAAAGGAAATTTTATTTTTTGTTTCTTCAAGGTTAAATTCAATTTAATTATTCTATTTTTGTTAATTCATTCTATTTAGTATATTCTAATATTAAATTATAAATTCTGTTACAAAGAGAGGAAAAATGAAGAGGAACATGGCATTTTATTTAAATAAGAATGAATACATTTCCGATATATAAATTTACTCTGCGTAATAATTTTTTTGGTGTTGATTTTACAACATTAGCGTTTTCGAAAACTATATATTATAGATAAACAACTATGTAAAATATAGGTTTGTCATAACAAAATATTCTTTAAATTTTATTTAATAACTTTCGAGCTGCCTGAGGAGCACAACGCTTACCATTTAAAATAAACAAACAGTGAAAAAGAAAAAAGGGAAGGATGGGGGTATGCCGCCACTTTTTGCTTACATGCATGCAAGAGGGAAAACTTTTCCTATTTAAAGACTTTTCACTCTGTGTTTCATATTCTGAATTAAAAAAGGGTATAACCAAATGATAAAATGGGACTGAAAATAATTTTTACTGAAGACTCTGGCAATTTACCTGTCCTTTTGAAAAGTAGTCTTATTGCATGAAAAAAATAGTTACTTGAAATATTTTCTTACTAAAATAAACCACTCCAACGACTTTATATTACAAGCTCTTTTAAGAAATACGAAAGAAGAGTTTAAATATAAAAGTGTCCTATTATTGAGATATTTGGATCTTCGCTGTTTTCTTTCTATCTTTCAGAGTGTGTAAACTGCTACCACCGTGAGTGCACCCGATATAGTGAACAGTAAACCGGGGAAAGCAAGTCTTATTTTGATCTCTTTTTACCAAATTTTTGCGAATTTTTTAAGTTAATAATTAATTTGGTGGGCTAATAGTATTAAAGATTTTTATGAAACGACCGCAACTCCTCGGAGAGTAATAAATTTTTAAAAGCAAATTATTTGGTTTAAAACGTCTTATTTTCTATAACAGTCTTTCTTTGATAAGCTAAAGAAGTGCAAGGTTACACCTTGGTGAATTGCATCGAGCCTTCTTTTAAAACCCCGACTATACTTTTTTTCTACATTAAAGAGGTAGCAGCAGTCAAAGTTTTTACTTACCATAAAATATCTACACTGTAAAATTAAATCATTTTACAGCTATTCTCAATATTAAGCCTTTAGAAAATTTAACTTAGCTAACTCATTAAAAGGGTTTACTAGCCTCAAGAAATTAGAATTTGCCAAAGATCTCTAGTTTGTAGTGAAAGTGTCCCACAATTATTACTATCGCGTATTTTTATTTTTTTATTGATTTTATGGAATTTATATAATAAATAAGCTAAACTTTAAGCTAAAAGATAAAATTTTTAAATTTTAGTGAAGCCTTCTAGGAGAATCTAATCTATAGAAAGTTATAATTTACAAATTCATCACTAAGACGAGTAAGCTCTACCAATGAGGTTTATATTATTAACAAAAAGGATTATTTTAAGTAAAATCAATAAATAAAAGTATTAATTTTTTCTGATTCGGACAGGAAAACTATTGAAAGTAGTGATTGTATAGCTAGGCTACAGTAGATAGTTTTAGAGTTAAACTCGTAAATCATATACTTTAAAATTTTCTTGTCATTTTTGGTATTAATATTGTGAAAAGACTTGCTTTTGACTTACCTTACGGTTAATAGTTAGTGGTGTGGTGCTATGGCGTAATAAAAACGACCAGGATAACGTTGCTATAACTCTTTTGGATAGTTAGGCAACTTAAAAAGTTACACTGGAGTCGATAAGAAAAAAGGTAATCTACCGTTTATACTTACCGTGATTCTAAAGAAATAATTAGTTAAAGATCAACTAAGGAAAAAAAATTTTAGGAAATTAAATTTGTACACGTTAAAGTTTTTGGATGTGCTAGCTTTGTGACGTAGAAAGAGGGGAGGAGGCGAGGTCGTCCTTACTGTACCTTAGAGAAAGGTTATTTAATTCCCAGGGCAAGAAATACAAAAAATTACAAATTGTAGAAACATGTGACACAATCACGTGGTAGAAGAACATGATATATGGTGTGTGGATACACACGTGGTACTGCGTGTATAGTAAACACATGGTATATGTATCGCGTGGTATACACACATCCCTCAGTGTTAACCAACAGTTTAAAGTTTTTAGGGATGTTAAACAGCGAAGGCCGTTGAAAGTCTCTGGCGTTGGGAAAATCAGCTCCCTTATATATAAATAACTATTACTTTTAGTATTTCACAACTCGACTGTTAATATAATGATTAAAATTTTTTAATGAGAATTGTAGATGTTTGGCTCCAACCCTGAGCGAGAAGGCTAATTAAAAATTTTAGTTTATTTCTTTATGCATTTGGTAACGGGTTTCATAATTAGGATTCGGTAACAAACCTTACATTCTTGCTTACAACTTGGCACGCACACTACAATAATCAAAATTTATTAGACTTCTTTTACCGTAAGCTAAAATCTGAGTAGAGAAAAAAATCTAAAAATAGTTTGCTAAAAAAACTAGAACACTTTTTTAAATTGGGACAGCTTACTAATAGTTATATATATCCAAGGTTATATATAACAAGGAGTTTAAAAAACCTTTAAGGACTAAGCGCTTTGTAGAGGTGTTCTCCCGATCTAGGTTATCTGGTTTTTTGTCAATTAGCTTTTTTTAAAGTGGAATCAAGAATAATGAAAATTAGCGTTTAACTTGAGACTAAGTCCTTAATGAAGATATACTAGCTAGCACTGAAAATACTTTATGCAACCAACTTAAATTGGGCAATTATTCCTATAACTGAGCGACAAAAATTCATGATATACAACTCACAGCGCTTTTAATATGAAAAGGTTATAAAAATTTTTCAAGTTGAAATTTTATTAGGTTCTTTGTCAGAATTTTTATACATAAAGTAAAAATTATTGTTAACTAGGCATGTATTGCTTTTCTATCTACAATTGTTTAAAATATTTTTCTACAATTACTGCTATTAGGCTTTTGCAAATGCCTATATGGTATGAGTTAAAACTGTATTACTATTAAAACATTTTGCGCCATTTTTCTAAAATCTTATAATTTATGGTTTTTAAAATTATTTTTTAATAATGCACAGGTACCTACTAAGAATAAATTAAAAAAAGCACTAAGGCGTATTCAGTCTAAATTGATTACCATGGAAGGTTTTATCCCATAAGAAAGAAGAAAGTTAATTTTAGAAAATCTAATGTTAGTTCTATAATTACATAAGTAACAGTTGTAACAGTAACTCTTACAAGGTATGAAGTTTAAGTATCAGGGTTAGAAAGATTGGGGTTTATGGGGCTTATAGAATACGTGCTAAATTTCTTTGTTAATACTGAATAAAATTTATTTGATATTTTTA